GGAATAGCGATCGATTGTAGTGCTAACATTTTGCGCTGTCATCATGATTGCTTCGTGTGATGGATTGAGTGGAGTATAGTGGAGCAAACAATTACTGCGCAGCATACTGATTGATTGTCGGACATTGATCAGTAACTGCATACCACAAACGAGTAACCACAAACTCGCTTACATAGAATACTCGTACATACATATGTACGTATACGTATTCGCATAGTCGAAATTATGCGCAGAGATACACAAGCGTACATATGTGGGAATTCAATCAGAAGTGTCAGCAACAAGTTTGTTAGCGATGTGTTAGATATCATATTCATACAGTCAAAGGACTAGCATTTAACTAGTTAGTCGGTTGCTTAGCTGCAGCATCTCTCGCTGTGTTCAGCTGTCAGTCAGCCAGCCTGCTAAACGGCTACCCTGTTAAACAGTCTCGTTATCTGATTGCAGTCCCCATACGTCCTGCATTGTGTACTCGTTGCTTTTGCACTCGTTGCATACACTAACCAATGTTAACTACAGGTACTTTTTCTCGCGTCATAAAACTTTTTAACTGCTGTTCAGCGCTCTTCTTCAATCCATTTTGCTGGCAAATCAATGGTGTTCCTGTGCTGTGTGGATTTGGCCAAACAGCTTCACACTGTTTATCTATCATTCGAGTTGTAGTAAGTGTTGGTTCTCTATTTTGGTGTCTGTTAAGACTGCTTGTATTGTGCGTTATATGTGTTATGCCACCTTAATGATCTTGTCTTGCCAGCAACGTTTGGCCACCAACAGTGCTTTTATTGGCTTTCAGGCCTATTAAGTCATAGCGGTCATTTTGGGCCATTTCACGGGTGGTTGTTACTGGTGGCTCACATCTATTTAAATTCAATTTGAATTCTTCTTTTCAATCTTTTTTTATTGCTCGCTATATTGTTGTTGCTTTGTTTTATGAATAATTACCTTTTATATGCATTATTGGATTATGTTGTAAACATTAATGAAATTCATTCACAATATTAACTCATGAGCAAAGTAGCAACAAAATAGAGAAAAGATAAAAGTTTCAAATAAAATTATAAAAAAAAAATTCAAAAACTTTAAACTTTACATTTAAAATTTAAAATCCAAAATACAAAATAAAATATTAAAAATATTTTCAATAATAAAACAACAACAAAATCTTGTAAATGAAAAATTGCTAATCGTAAATCGTAACTGTTTTATGGTAATTTTCTTGTTGTGCCTACAAAGTGCGCCGCCGATACTTCTCGGACCTGTTAATAAACAATTTTTAATTAGTTTTTAACAGCGGTGGGCCTCGGCGATTTTTCATTGCTGTCATAATTTGTCAATTTGCATTACAAAATACGTTGGCTTTTTATTATTTCACTATGAATTTTTTAAATTTGCCTATTTGGGCCACTTTGCCAGCTCTTGCCAGCTCTTGCCGCTTTGGCTCATTTCATCCATTTAGCCAATTTCGGATATCTAAGATAGACCGTCTTGGCCGTCTTGGCCGTCACATCAATCGTGCTGTGTTTGTGTTGAAGTTTTATTGAAAACAACTCGATAGATCAATTAATTTATTAGAGTTTAATAAGCCCTTCTTCGATTAGCCGTTTCAGGAAAGCGTGCTGAATTTTGCACTTTAGTAACAATCGCCAAAAAAATCATACAAAAAAAACAGAATATATTACGAATATATACATATATGCAAGAGTTCGACGTAATAGTTTGGAGCAAGGCAAGTTGAAGGGTTAGGCTATTTCTTTATTGAGGTCAATAAACGACAAACAAAACTTTTCAATTTACTTACATTTACGTAAAATATTTAGCCATTGATGGGAAAAATTGGAAGCTTTTGATCAATTAATGCTGAACGGACGGACGGTGTATGGCGGTTCGATGGTCTTATTAAGTTAGGAGGGAATAGATTTTTTTTAAGCATATTTCCTATTACGTGTATATATTTATTTCTTATGGTTTCTTAGATTTGCCAGTAAAATCGGGTATTCAATGTCATGAGAACTAATCCGAAGAATAATTTCACTAATAACACATTCGAATTCTTTTGAAACCACGTATGCTCTTCCTCAATTTTGAAAATATTATATATTAATGGTGCTAGTATTAATAATAGTTCTTAACTTTAATTTAAAGCACTCAATCTAACTCCCCATTCCTGTATTTATAAAATTGAATGAAACTACTAGAAATATTTGACACATATATGGTACATGCAATGCCATACACTTTGTTGATCATTAAAGATGTGAGTTGTTCTTGGCCTCGTTCATTAGGAAACTCAGCAAAAGAAGCGAACCGCATAAGTCTTGTGGTAAATGTGGAAAAAATAATTTACTTTCTATCAACATTTAAGTTTCCTGATCGTCTTAGGACTCACGTTACTTCCTTCTCAATCCTTTACTCTTGACAGAGCATGGTGACGTATTATAAATTCACACTTTTTGTTTCGGTGCGCCATGTTGTGCTATGTTGCGCAGAGTGTATCATCGCCTCACTCATCGTTTCTTCAAGAAAAGGCTGTAATTAATTCACCTTACGTGTAGGCGACCGTCCTCATCGTCTGCTTACTCCACAACTACAACTAGTTGTTCCAGAAAATGATAATGAAATCATTCTCATAAGCCTATTTTTACCTTTAATTTTTCGAGTACAGAGAGGTTGATTTGGAGAACAGTCAATGGAATATTTAACACTCACCTGAAGACCCACTGTTCAAAGGCCTCAATCTTTTGTCAGTCAAATTTTTTTATGGTCCATGTTTCAGTAGCATAGATAGCTTTAGGAAACACCAAGACAAAACTTTGTAGATTTTGTTATAGGTCTACCTTTCCACATTTTCCACATACCACATTTCCACTACATTGCCGCCAGTGTTAGTTATTATGGATCCCAAGTAATTAAATTTATCTACTACATCAAAGCCTGTAATAGGCGTTTCATATGGCTGATTGTTATTTGGTCTGTCAACCATCATAACTTTTGTTTGGAAAGTGTTGATCCCCGGTCCATAGCGCCGACTTAAAGATGTAAATTTCTTCATTAGTAGGGTGAGTTCACTTTCATTGCATGCCAAAATGAGTGTTATGACCGCATAACGCAAGTTATTTTTTTTTTGACCCTACAGATATGCCACCATTCTAATGTTTCAGTACTCCGCATATACGTTAAACAATATTGGCGAAAAAATGCTGCCTTCCCTAGTGCCAGCTTCAACTTTCAACATATTAAATGTTATTTGGTTCCCTCTCACTTTCGTGGCATTGTTATCATAAAGGCTTTTTATCTTGTTGACCAGATGATTTGTCACGTCACTATTTACAACTAACATAACACATAATCTTCTTTAATATCTATATTCAATACACATAATTCAAAAATATATATTGAAGCTTTTACATATACATGAATCTGTTAAAATATATTTTTACAATCCTAATTCCAATTCCTTGTACTTATTAATTGGGTTTTTTCAAAACCAATTCCACTTACAATCTCCCAATTACAATTACTTTGGAATTAGGAATTAAGGGTAATCTCATTACAAAAGTAATCAATACTACGCAGCTCTGCAAAAGATAAACTAATATGAGATAATGCGACATATGGTTAAAAAAATAATAATAAAATGCAATGAATATAATTTTTAAAACCGAACTTATTTGTTATAAGACTTATGATCCTCCAAAGAGAACTTTGAAAAAATTTTTTGAATATATGATTACTCAAAAATCAATTAGTAGGCTACTTGATATAAAAAAGATCAAGTTTAGTTAAATTCATATTATTTCATATTTTTAATTTAACTCCAAATTTGATTCGTAAATTTCTTTACGAAAAAAAACTTTTTGGTTTTCAGTTCAAAATTACACAGACATTTTTCTTTAAATATGGCGCGTAGGCTTTCAATGATTAGAAAGCATATAATTTATATCAAGATGCGGGAACAGGAGCGCTTACAAGAAGAGCAGGAGAGAACAGAGGTTATTAATTATTAATTCTTTTAATAGACATAATGTATGCATTATACCGTCCATTACAAGCCTCTGAACTAAAATCCGATTCTTTTGAGATCTTTTGAGAATTTTTATGCAAATCGGGTACAAAGTGTGGGTATTTTGTCGAGAAAGTATTGACTAATAATTGTGTGATTGACATCTTAAAAATATGTCACTTATGCTCTTATGAGTTCCTACATATGATTCACGAGTGCAAAGGTCAAGTTTAATTTTCTATATATGATTCACATATTCAATACATTAAAAAATTTCTATAAATTATTTAGTAAAATTCTTGACATTAATCTCAAATGCAAAATCCACATGGATCTACATTCAATATGTATGAGAACTATTTTTAATTGATGATTATTTTAAACAATTTTATCTGCTAATATACTTTTATTTATTATTTATATTTTCATAATAATAAAATGAAAAATTTGTTAATGTTGTCTGTGTTCAGGCTCTAGCTAAGGAAAGCAATGCCGCTACACCAACAGCAAATGTAGCCACGTCTTCTGCGTCGGAACCTGATAAGGTGACTGTAAGTGGATTTTTTAAGAAGTTTTTTTTCGGAAATGACTCCTAGAACGTCAAAGTGAGTGTATTATCGTATATATTATATATCATATACACGTTTCATAAATTCAGAAAAAATTGTGGTGCTCTTTATATGACTGGTATCCACATATTCTCTTTGTGCAAATTATAAGCAAATATGGACAGACTCTTCTTAAGGAAAACCCGTTTACTCATATCAAATATTCAAGCAATTACCTAAAATTGTTTATTTGCAATATGAGACTCCAACAGTCTAGCTTTCAGATAGGAATACTTAACAAAACTTTGAAGAAGTCAAGGTTTTTAAACTTTATGTTAAAGTAGTTTTCATCTGAATTGAAAAATTTTTATTTCTGGATCAAGATTTTCAATTCTCAATTCAGGGAGTAACAACATACCGAAATGGTGCGGGAACACTCTGTATCGATGAAAATTTAATATATTATGATTATACCGTATTGGGAACTAATATCATTGGATGGTATGAAATGAGTAATCATGAGAATAAACAGCTATTTAAAGTGTAAATCAGATTCGCTTTTCTACAATAAAAGAAATGTCGATTATCGAATGGTAAGTGAATAAATAATAATATTAATACTTATCTGTAATACACATCTGTGAATAATTTTAATTAACATAATTTTGCAGTTAAACGACTAAAGTAAAATTATTTTCTTCTAGTAAAACCTTATGCTTTCCTATTTTGATCTGAAAACTAAAAGCATTAGGTTCCATTTATTTTTTTAAAAAGTTTTTGTTTAGAAAAATTAGAACTCATATATTGTTATCGGATAATGTTTATGCCATTCCAAAATGAAGAGAGAAGAGGTCTCAATTAATAAGGATCTATTACATTCCATTTTTGTGACGGCACTCACAAAGCATACACATATATATTTTTTAAAAGGATTAAAGTTGAAGGTATTAAAAGGATTAATACGCTTAAATGACCAGTGTTAGAATTTCTATTATAGAAAATATGTGATATTATATAATAGTGTCGAAATTTCCCGAGCTATAAGCATATTTAACAACCAATCAATATCCTAAACAGAATAGTATCTTAATTATGGCACAATGCATTAACGGCATTACGTGAAAGAACTTACAATTGTACCAAAATCGAGACAACACAGGTATATCAGTATAGTTACTCAAACTTCAATGGTTTCAATCCAATATGGTCAATGCAAAGTGAGCATAATTTAAGCATTAACTTCCCCATTAACTTTTAAACATTAGGTTTAATGATCTCAATTATATTTGTATAATCCAATTAATTAATAACATTCTGCATTACGAGGAACTATCAAATAATAAAGACTTTATATTAAAAAATAGGCTATGAATACACCCCGACCTAAAAGATCTATTGTGCGCCCATCTTTATATATTCTAGCACTAAGTTTTAAGAGACTGCAATACAAACACTCACATTTTTATAAACTATAAAATATTTTGCATTAGATATTTTTAAATATTCACTTCATCAAAAATTATTTGCTATATCAACTTAAATAGTTTTCTTTGAGACCGGAAGAATCAATACAAAACTATCATGGAGTTTTCAAGATGTGATATATAACAGACCCGTTAGTATAATAGACCTATATAGCCGACCTTATGGAGTGTTCTTGTTTTTATGTTGACGGTTTTTTATTGAAAAGAGAAGATCTCTTTAAGCGGTAGGTAAATACAATGAAATAATAAACTCTAACTAATCTTGCGATTTTTTTTTAGCACTATAAAATAATTATGTGGAACTATAATGTGGAACTAGTTTATATATAAGGGAATATATAAATTAAATACCTGCCCGCTAACTAGGAAGTATATTTTTAAGACTTTATTTATTTAATGGATAATTTTTATTTTAGTACTTAAGCGATTCAACTCAGTTTTTAAAATAGAATGTTAATAAATTTCAAATCAATATACTAAAATTCTTGGACTTTATATTATATATCACCGGCAGTTCATTTTATAAAATAAGTATTTATAGAAGTTTCATTACGGTGTAAAAAATAAATGTCTGTTCTGTGTTAATCATTACACTGCTTTTATCATATTTATACAATATATATTATATTATTATTATTATTATATATTATTTTTCTATCCTTCAGTGAAGGTTTGATTGGGTTGAAAAAACGCGTCTGGATGCGACATAGAGGCTTGCGCTTAGAAACAACACTTGTCCATTCTGAATAATGGCTTTAAAGTTTGGCAGGAAAAGTCGAGCTATATTAGCCATTGTTTCCAAAACGGTTTCACACATTATGCTTGCTAAACCATTTGGTTTTCCAGTTGAAGTTTAGGTGTCATCTTCGCCATCGTCATCATACATTATCTTTCGTTAACTCTGCCAGGCTTGAGAAGAAACACATTGGAGCGTATTCATCGGTAGTCCTAAAAGAGAGCATATATGTAGAAACTACTTGATAGGTTTCACAAGGCCGTAAAACTGATTTTCTTATTCTTTGCAATATTATTCGTTTTTATACGAATAATGGAAATCGTTTTATTGAATACTTTTATCTGCAAATTTTTTTGTCTACAATTTATATAATTTTCTCTATTATTTTTCATTGTAAGTTATTCATCAGAAAAGTTAGTAAATCAGATAAATCAGTAAGTATATTTTCTGGGACCCCTTTTAATACCGAACTAACCGAGTTGCCATTCTGCAAAGTTAAGGATCTGGCCAAATTTGTAGAATTATGAGGTTGGTTCACTTTCAGTTAAATGGGAGAGACGTGCTTTTCAGCGCTGATCGTACGCTGACCTTTAATATATGTATGAACAACGCTAATCCATGGTACTACAGTGGACCATTACTTGAGTTCAAGTTAGGTTTGGGTACAAAGACGATACTAAAACCTTACCGTACCTCTATTCTGGGAATAATAATTACAACAAATTTGTAGCGTTTATTATAATTAAAAGTTTAATAAAATTTATGCATTGTCATTGGTTCTAGTTACTACGCATATATTTTAGTTATTTACTATTTAGGAATAAAAACATTCATAAGTCCCAAACAGCCATCCAGAATTGGGTCAGTATTTATTTAATTTTCTTTTTAAATTTACTGCGATTCATCAATTTTGTTAAAAGGAAAATAACTCGAACGAGGCGAAGCACTAAACTACATATGAGCCATTAAATTTAAGTAAATTTAAGCTATTGGCAACGCTTTATTAAAGATTTGAACATAGGCAAATATAACTCAATCGCACCCATAAAATCACCTTTCACTACTCCAGTTACCGCCACTAAGTCAAACCAAATGAATTTAACATATAAAAAAAATATTAAAAATGTGTTGAATAAAAAACTATTTTTGTTTTTGCTAAACTATGTAAACACAGCTGAAGGTTTATTTTTTTCGATTTTTGCATGTTACTTAAACAGAAATGTGCTAAGAAATTAGTTAAAGACTCGTCAACGAACTGAAAGCATAAATCATTAGTGGCAACATATGCTGTAATCGCTATAAACGACAACATCAATAACAGAAACTGAACTACTAATAACTGCAACAACATAAATGCTGTTGAAGAGCACAAGCAACACCAACAACAGCACTAACAGCACTAACAGCACCAACTGCTCCAACAGCAACAACAACTACGACGGCAGCAAAATGAATTCGAGGCATTTAAAGAGATAGTGTAATGTGCACGTCAATTAAGATATAAAATGTTTGGATGGGCAAACGTAGCAGTGGATAGTTAGACAGGCCGACAGACAGACAGCTAGACAGATAGACAGACTTACATACGCACTCAAATGCATATGCAAGCAAAATAGTCAAGTAGCCGGAAAAACAAATATTGGATCGTTGGACTTACAAGTGGACTTGAAGTACACAAACTTATTTCAAGAAATGCTGAATGATGCACAGCACAAGTGCAATTAATTTAAGGAGGATGGATGAGTTGTGTAATTGAAGCTAAAACGTAGTGAGTCAGTTAAATTCATAGATGGTATAGTATCTACAGGTGTTACCGTTTCTAGTATTGAAATAAATTAAGCGATAAACTCTTATTAAATTTTCATTCCTTAAGTACATAGTACAGACATACATTTTTCCCAAGTCTATAAAATTTAACCATGCAAACTCTCATTCTTTCAGTGATAATGTCAACGAACAAATTGAATATTTAATGGCAATTTAACACCTTGTTTGCTTTTTGACGTCAGCTTTGACGAATTATACTAAATACTTAATAAAAATATTGTTCTCAATAAAGTGAGTTTTATCAAACACTAGTGAATTGTAACAACAAAAAATTTTATTATTTTTAATTAATTGAATTCTTGGCAGTTGCTTCAAGTATTGCCACGTAAGCATTTTATATAATATATGTACTATATGTTATGTATGTTCAGAGCTGTGCAAAATCATTAAAATTACAAATTAAATTACAATTACAGAGTAATTATAATTGATAATTGAGTTTCCAGATTACTAGTGTAATTTAATTGAAAACCTCAATTACGAATTGCAGTATACAGTATGTTATTATTTTTGCAAAGAACAATAGTACATCAAGACCTGTGAAATGTTATAAGCCATGCAGTGTCATATTCAAAACAAGAGGAGACAATCAAGGAGATAAATTTGCTTTTAACAATATAAGCTGAAAAGAGTAAAAACAGCACAATTCTTATATATTTTTGTCTTAAAATGTTTGTATAGATATTAACCAGAAATAATCGCTTCACACAATTCTATAACTATCTATTTCTGTAAACTGTAAACAACACCTATAAAAAATATTTGGTAATATGCTCATATGTCACCATCCTCTGCGTAATTTTCGATAAGCTACCCGATGCGGAATAGGTTTGTAAGACCTATAAAGCAAATATTAATTGTTCTACAAAAACGACATTGAAGGGCTTGAGAAGCGTTGGAATGAATATATACCACAAGAAGGAGACTCCGAATAAACGTTGTACATGTTGACAAATAAAATCGAATTTATAGAAGCTAGTAAAGCTTCTATGGAATTATTGGGACTACTAAGTCCCCTTATTGAAGTAAATACATGAATTGCTTCCCTAAAAAACATAGTCTCCAGTTTTGATTTACTGTAACTACTAACTCCGTACAAATATCAAAACAAAACAAAAAGGACATCAAAGAGTTTCAGGATCATAACAATTAATTTATCACTCTGGAATGAAAACATGTTGACGAGTATAGTCTAAATTTAAAAATTCTGCCGATAGAAAATGCGACAAATGATGTCCACATCAACAGTGGATGGACTAGGTGACTAACGATTTAAAGGCGCCCGGTACTGCCAACTGGTGACAGCAAGCCACTGTTCGGGCTGGCTGGTGGGAGCTACTGCTTGTGACCAAGGACGTCTTCCGCTGAAATTACCAACTAAGCAAAAAATATGTTCTAGTTACATATATTCTTGTGGCTTGGCAGTGAAGGAATAAAATTAGAAATAAATGCACAGTTGTCGTTTAGTTTCCAATCTTCACGAATGAAATTTTGCGTATGAAGTTTCTCAGCATCCTGATCTCTGACGTCGATAAATTGGTGGAGTAGAGGTTTCCAAAAAGTACAATCATATATAGTAAAAGTAGTTAATAGCAAGTGATTAAGAAATTATTAAATTATGTGTGAAAGTATTGCCAGCAATAGGATTAGCGACAACAGTAATAGCGATTAATCACATTTCATTGCCTTAGGTAGAATTACTTTTCATTACCGCCGACACAATATTATAAGTCAATAAATTAATAAATTATGGTATTAAATAAATTGCATCTAAACGTTGTTAGTTGCACATTAATTAACTTGATTGAATGATTTATTGGCGGATCAAGTGTCGTGCGCTCACACACATAGCAATGCGCGCGGTTGACCAAACACCGCGTTACATCTTCACGCAATATAGCAAAAAAAACGAAAAAAAACCCGAAAGTCCAATAACAACTCAGCAACGTACTATGTATAGCATCTCCATGCTAACTCAAGATCTGCTTCAGAGCAGCCTGCCAATTAATACTGCTGCTACCGAGTGTTACCGATGTTCTTCTCTTATGCGATCTTGCTGTTGATCAAACCATCGACGGTTTGATCGTGTGTGTTTGATCGTGTGTGTTTGACGATGTTGGATGCAACTTAAAACTGCAAGTGTTACCAAAACGATTCTGTTGATTTTTATCATCTTGATGTTGTTATTATAATATAACTACACGCGTTTGTTGTTGTTGTTGTTGTTGCTGCTGCTGTTGTTGTTGTTTTATGTGCTGTTAGTGTAGCTGTCGTTTTAAGTCAGCAATCATCCCAGCCCCAACTGCAGCAATCAAATCATCTTTACTGGACCTCAACTGCCATCAACTAATTCTACTAATGCATGCAATGCGACAAACAAACACACTGCCTGCACTGATTCTCTTCATTATTGTCTTGATAGTAATTATAATAATGTTGATAATGATAACGATGTTGTGTCTGTCTTGTTGATGGGGCCGGACATTCTGGACACTTTGCTGAGTGTCGCATTTATTTGATATGCAGTCAAGTATTGTTTCAATATTGTTTTTGTTGCTATTGTTGTTGCTCTTGATGATGATGCTGATGTTGGTGTTGGTGTTGTTGTTGCTGTTGCTGTTGCTTTTGATGATGTTGTAGATGTATTTTGTTGAACGTTTTTGTTGTTGGCTTAGATGGTGTTGTTCGCTGCTTCTGTGCCTGATAATGTGAATGTGCTATATAGATGTTGCTACTGCTGCTTGCCACACTGGTTATGTTGTTAAAATTGAATTAATTAAATCAATTTCAGCGTCTCAACTTTTCTTCGTGCCAATTACGTTGACCGTATCACGCATGCAAAGTTGACTGAAGGTGGCCTGCCTCTTTG